ATTAACTAAAAGTCAAAATGTGCCATTTTTGGTAATTTTCATTGACCAACAGTTGACAATATGATTTTTTAATAATATTTATATTTTATGCTTAAAATAAACCCATTAAACTAAAACACACTGCTCGATCATTTTACCGTATGAAATATATTGTAAATTAATTTAGCTATAAATGTGAACTAACTATCACATTAGGTACTTATCATGAGGAACTAGTTTTAAATTATTTGCATCACATAAACGTGCTTGGTTTGTCTAATGGTTTGTTTACCAAACTATTCACTTTAATGCTTTGTTTTAAATTCTTTATTATTAGTATTAAAATTATTGTAATAAATAATTTCATTCTGAGTAAATTTGGGGGGTTATTTAAACCCTCAAACTCAGTTGAAAACATATTATACTAAAATACTAAAGATCATTTGCTAACTACTGAATATTAATTATTTGCTGATACTAAAATACAAAAGATAATTAGTAAAGACTAAAAATCATAAAAGCATGCTCAAAGTGATATTTTCTAATTGAAAATAAGTAAACATTTCTGAATGCTTTTTGAAAGAAAAATTGCTCTCTCATTTTGTATATTGTATTATTTAATATTTGTATATTCTCTTTTACGAAGCACTAAAACAATTATTTAGATTGAAAATTGTATTTGCAATTTAAAGAATTCAGCTGCATTAACACACAATACATTTGCTTTTTGGTTTATTTGAACTAAAAGGTATAATTGTTTTCTGTTATTCTTATTAAGTTAACAGAAAGCGATTTATGTTTCTCAAAGAATATTATTAAATGCTTATACATTCATTTTTAAGAAGTTTCAGAAATTAACATTTACTTAAGAACATAGGATTACAGTGTTTGTATTTTAGTGTTTGCAGTTACATTAATTTAAAAAATATGTACTTTTGTTTTCTGGTATATTTGATCTGAGATGTAGAATTGTTTTTTGTTATTAAGTCAACAGAAAGTCTGAAAAGTGACTTCTATGTTTTTTAAACAATACAATTAAATGTTTATACATTCTTTTTTTAATAAGTTACAGTAATTAACATTTATACAAGAACATAGGATTACAGTGTTTGTATTTTAGTCTTTACAGTTATATTAATAAATACTAAAATACAATAATTATATTTTAGTTTACACACATACTTTTGTTTTCTGGTTTATTTGAACTGTAAGGTTTATTTGTTTTTTGTCTTTCTTAAGTCAACAGAAAGACAGAAAAGTGACTTAGATGTTTTTTAAAGAATATAATTAAATGTTTATCTATTCTTTTTAAGAAATTTAATTTCTAACATCAACTTGGAAGCATAGCATTACAGGTTTAGTATTTTAGTGTTTACGTTTATATAGTTTCCGTTAATTTTAAGTACATTAAACACCAATTGTTTTCCAGTAGCTAAATTAACTTATTAGTTTGCTTATTTTTATGTATCTAATATCTTGCAGATTCCACTTTATGAATCATCATAAAAAATACTAAAATTCTCAATATTTAAGGTAAGATATGTTTTATTCAAAATTACTCAGTATCAGGAGTAAATATCATTGAAAAGTCTTTTGACCCTATATGATATCTAAATAGAGATTTCAGATTCAAATGTATTCAGAAATCGCAAAATAGAACTATATTTCCTTTTTAAAACATTTTAATAATGATAGTATATTTACATTCAAATTAGTTGATTTTGTTTTTCTATTAACTAGCTTTCTAATTATAAGGAAATATTGTTTATATAATCTCAGACTCTAATCTGTATGTACCAAGCCGTATTTGTAATTAGCACACAAACCTGAAATATGTGTATGTTTAACAATATATAAAAGCTTGTGTGTGTCCATCGTCATTTTAAAAGGATTATAAAACATGTGTTGTATTCAACAATACTTTGTGCTATGTAGACTAAAGCAAAATCAAGTGAATAAAGCATAAAAAAATACATGACATCAATAGTTTCAGTTCTATAAACAAGAACCTTACTCAGTGTCATTATGTACTTTCATTAGTGCTTCATTGCCTTTTGCTATTATCGATGTGTGTGTGCTTAGTTGTATTGTTGGCATTTATTTTGCAGCTGCATTATAATTCTATCGACCACAATAAGTTTATATTAACAATACTAGGACATAAAGCATGTGTTGTATTCACCAAAGGAAAGGGTAATACTTTGTGCTATGTAGACTAAAGTAAAAACAAAGTAAATAAAGCACAAAAGAAAATACATGAATTGACAATCTATAGTTTCAGTTCTATAAACAAAGATCTTCCTCATTGTTATTATGTGCTTTCCTAGTCTTGTGTTGCATTTTTAGCATTTATTTTGAAACAACATGATAATTTTATATATCACAATAAGTTAATATTAAAAATACTAGGATTTGGAGTATAGCATGGTACTTTTTCAAGGCTAAAGTGCTATGTAACAGAAGCAAATATTCAATTGGTATAAAAATATATGTACTGGTGCCTTTTACATCAATGTAAAATTTGTGATCAGAGAACAATGTATTGTCTGTATGTAATGTATTGTCTGAATATATAATCATAAATAATTATTCTATTATGTGTTGCGTTATTACAGAGGTTTAACGTTTTTGAATTTAAATAGTGCATTTAAGAGAGTTGATTTACAAGATTTTTTGAATGAAATCTGGATCTCAAACAAAGATATAGAGAAAAAAAGTATGCCTAAAACTTCCAGAATATGGTAAAATTTTAGTTCTATGGAACACTAAAAATCTCGGTAATGTTTACTGAAGCGCTTTGATAATTGTGGTAAAATTTGGTATTTTTATCATGATACCTTAGAACCATTCATTTGGTAAAAACCATAAAACAATTTATTCAGTTAAATTTATTTTTCAATTTTGTATATTTTACTAAATGTGTAGCAATAAGAGCTATAATTCTGAGAACTAGAATTTCCGGTAACTCGATACTTTATGAACGGAAAAATTACCAAATGAAAGATTTAAATATCGTATACTTCTGGTTTATTAACCAGATTTATGTTTTTTTTAATTCATTTATTTATTTTTACCAGAAATACCTTTACTATACAGTTCTATAATTTTACCAAGGCTATTTGACAGTTTGACTAGAATTATATTCGATTTCTTTTTGAATATTTGACGGAATTATTGTGCGACAGCCACTTTTGCGTAGCAAAAAAGTACAAAAATTTCATCAATTTTGTAATCAATTTCGAACAAAATGAAAACTCAATATCTTTGTTGTAAACTGTAGTAGTCTTTAAAAGATAAGTATTTTGTAGTAAAAAAACACTATCAAACGAACATATTTAATGATTGTTTGATCTTAATATGACTATTTAAAACTGAAAAGGTAAACTTCCAATTTTATTTAATCACAAAAATTTTTTAATTTTTTAAAGTCTTCTGTGTTGCTTTTTCGAAATAAGGATTCATTTACAGAAACTCATGAAGGTTTACAATGATACATGAAATATCTAATTAAAAGATACATACGTGAAATACAAATTATACAGAGAGTATATTAATGCAGTTGTAACGCGGAGAAATACAGTCTACTAAAATAACCGTCATAAGTGGTAATGATTCTCGTTTTTAACAAAGTTCTTTCAGTTTTTAGAAAAAACAAGCAAAAGAGCTGACTGAATTTGGTATACATACTAGGAGGAAAAAAATCTGGTAAAATTATCATATTGTATGGTAATGACATTTCTAGTTTAAAAAAAAAACATAATTATGGTAATGAACACAAAATATATAGAAATTATATACCATTCATTTGGTAATTCTTTCATTCACTCATTTTATTCATTTCATTTTCAAAATTACAGCTTCTATTACCAAACATTTAGTAAAAAATATAAAACTAAATAGGAAATTTAACCAAATAAATATTTTTTATGCCCTGCTCTATGAAATCATGTGAAATTGCTATATTTCACTGCATTTTATGGTTAATTTAACCAAAATCATTACCTAAAAGCTTCGGCAAAAATTACCATGCATTTTACCGCACAATTAGCCTTAAATATTTTTTTAGAATAACACTGAAGTTATAAATCATTTCTTCAGGAGAACAAAGATGAAAAATTCCAAATATGTGTTGCCAAAAAATCATTACAGCATCATTTATTGAGTTTTATCATATCATATAATTAAGTTTTCATGGAATTTGAGAAAATTTTTCTATCATGCATAATTCAATAAATTTATAAAATATCGTAATAATACTGTACTATAAAACAAATAAAAGTAATAAAAAACCATAATTTTCTGTACAGTAAAATCTGTCAAGTTAACCACTTCGATAAGATTAAAAAGTGATATCAATCTAAATTGGATTACACAATCACATCACATAATCAGATCACACAATTACAGTCATATAAAAACAATAAAGCTGTATAGTATCACGTGATAATTAAGATTTTACATAGAATCTTAAAGTGCGTCTAATAATTTGACTAAGGACTGTAAGTGTTAAATGGCCAAAAATATTCACTTTTTTTCTCTTTCATGTTTTTGGTAGAAGTCTAAGTAGGAAAAAGTTTTTGAATATTAAGGAAAATTGTCTATTTATGATGTGGAAAAAGTGGTAGTAAATGCTTATTTATACTAAGTTGGTGATTTTTCTCTTAGTCACCACTTTAAATTTAAAAAAGTAATATGCTTTGATTTCTGATAAAATTTTAAAAAATTATGACAGTAATATATTAAGGTAGATAGAATAGTACTAACTTTTTCCTGTAAATGAAACCGAATAATAAAAAATGTATGCTACCACTCTTTTTTCTTTCTTCCTTTTTTTCCGTTTATGACTATGATTCATAAACGATATAAACATTTTCATTATTTTTTAATTGTCACTAGAAAAAATTCTTTTGAAAAAGTGTAAAAATTTGCAACAATACTTTTAATATTGAAGAAAGAGTTCATTATTTAACATTAAATTATTATCGTGATAGAAGTCTGTATTGTTTTTGAATATACTTTACCTTGTTTATTATAAATTTTTGCAACTCCATATTCTTCTATTTTCTTAGTCTAATTTTCTTAGTCATACACTGCAAATATGAAATAAATCGATTATTTTAATGAAAAAAAGATATTTTAGAAATTTGATTATATAACATACAACAGAGAAACTGTTCAACTAAGAAAAACGTTTAAATTTTAATAAAAAATGCTACACACGTTAAAAAAAAGGTTAATAAGCTCCTTTGGTTTATGTTTAAAAAATAAATCACTATGGAGGATGCCAATATTATGAATAATATGGAAGATAAAAATAACTCAGCTTCCCTTGTTGTATGAAATGACTTTGTTTCCACTTTTGAATAGAAAGTCTTCAGTCTGATATTTAGAAAAGTAGTCATTAAATAAAGGAATACATGCCCTGAAAAATTTCATATGTTAGCGAAACTTTTTTCCAGCTTTTGTATACTAAAGTAAAAAATATTTGAAACAATTATAATTTTTTAAAAGCTTGTAGCAGAACTTTTAAGTATTTCAATTTATTAATCTATGTAGATTATTAGTCATGCATAAACTCCTGCACTGTAAAGAAATTCTGGATCAAATTATGATAAAATATTATGATGTAATTTTTACAGTTACATTTATTTAATTATAGTGATTCAGTGTGCACTCTGAGTACCGTTACTTTTTACTGTAATTTGATGCTGAAATGTTTGCAGTGTACTTCCTGTAAAAAAAAAATATTTTTTCCCCAGTGATTGCTGTGTAAGTCGGCAAATTTTAAAAATTAATAGAAAATCTTTTTACATGCATTTTATAAAATATGTCAATATGATAATGGAGTCTTGAATGTATATCTGAATTATTTGTAGCGATATTTCAGTTCTTTTAAAATCCAATATATTCAGCCGAAGGTAAAATAACTAATACATTAACTTCTTTTAAACTAGTAAAAATATTTCGTATTGTTATGTAAATTCAATTTTAGCTGGTAAAACGCTAATTTTGTGACGATTGATAACAAAATCTATTGTTTTAATTATATCTGTCAAAGATAAAAATTACTATACAAAGTCATTAATCTTTGTGCCATACATTATGGCACATAATGTGTGTATCAAAATAATAATTTATAATGTAAAAATCAATGATTTCTATACTCCTTAATGAAATATGTAGAGAAATGTTGCATGAAGTAGCAAACATCTCTCATAAAGATTTTTTCCGTATATTATTGCAATCAAAATGACAAGAATTTGTTTCGATATCTCCAAATCATCACTTTCATCAGATTTTTATTCATGTGCCTGAATCAGTTAAAAGTCATTTTGGTCAAAATTATTTCAAATAAAAGTTATTTAATAAATAAATAAAAGTTGGAATTCAAAAATTAGAATAAAAAGTCGTGGAAATTGGTAGCTGTGGTTATAGTAAGATTCAAAGGATAAACAAATTAAGTATAAAACAAACAATAACATACCGCAGAGGTTTTTATTTATTTTAAAAATTATAAGCAAAACACACAAATAATTTACAGAACTCATTTGTTCAAAACAAAAAAAATTTTTTTTTGTTTTGACTTTTCACTTTATCATCTGAGACCTATTTTTTAAAAAAAATTAGAAATGAAAAACTATTATGTCAAAAGGTATAAGTTAATTAATTTTTTGTGATTTGTAAAAGATTTGATAGTGTTTATTCCACTATTACGCCAAATTTTAAGTAATTGCCTCACTTTATTCTGTGAAATACAGAGACATAATATAAATGTATCATAACATAGTAAAGCACATAACAAATATCATTTTTTTTTACATTATCACATATAGTTTTTTTTAAAAATAAAATAAATGAATAAATAAGTAAATAATGGTGTCGTCAAAACATTTTACGTAAGACTTAGGGGGAAATTATTATGTGAAAAGACGCCAAAATATTCGTCAGATATTATATCAAAAGATTGGGATGTAGATAACCCACTTTTGTTCAGAGGGTTAAATAGTGACTCTTTTTCTGAACTATTTGAATGAAATATTTAACACCAAACCCGTTTCTTTCAATCGCAGCGAAAACTGATAATTTGGGACTTACAGCATTGAGAGAAAATATTTCCCCGTTACAAAACCATAGAAAACTCGTTCCTCGTATGGAAAAAAATATCTTTTTTTTTTCCGGATGGGAGAAAGCTTCTACTCCAGATAACAGGAAAAAAATAAAGAAGCTAAATTTGAAAGAGAAAAAGTGTTATAAATGTAGTTATTATGAGCGCTTCTGAAGAAGTATTACTGAACAACATGCAAAAGCAATGTAACATTGTGTGTATCTTCGATAAGAGTTGAAAGAGATAAAAGGAGAAACGGGAGAAGGAAACATGTCTTATCAGTAGAAGTGCATATAAAACAAAAATAAAAAGATAAGAAAAGAGAGTATATCGTTGATCGATAACAGAGGATATGGTGCAGTACAAGAAGATTGTGAGTATCAATTGTAAGCACCATTTTTGGCTCTTCAGAGTCATTTTTGGCGAAATTTCATCCTTAAAGATTTGTGTCTTGGAAAAAAAATCTTCGTGGCATTTTTTTCAGTTTTGCTGCAAATTTAGAATAAAAAGGACTTTTTTTTTCTCCGGGCAGCATTTTCATAATTTTTTTCAATACTGGGTCATTTTTACTTTTATTTAAAAATTGAAAAGAAATTAATATAATTATTTTTCATTTACTTAAGGCACAAAAAGTAAAAAAAAATTTAAAAAAATCCGAATAGAATAACTGCACCCAGAAAAATCTATGTACAAAATTACCAGAATATTGTAAAATTGACAAAGTAAGTGCCTCACGATATATTTCGGGAAAAGTAGCTTGAAAACTACTTTTTTTCTTTCTTTTTTTTTATACAGAGAAAACAAAGTATGGTCAAAACTACCATAATATGGTAAAATTTGTCGTGGTTTAGGCTCTATGGGAACACCTAAAATCTTGATAATTTTTAACGTAGTTCTTCAATAATGTAACCATAAAATATGTAATAATAAAAATGTTTCGAAATGCAATATAAACGATGAATGTTTGGAAAAATTAACAATTAAATACGGTTTTATAACATGCTATAAAGTTTGGTAAATGTGATAAAATTTGATAATTTTATCATGATACCATAGAGCATTGCATAAGAACTATTTATAAAATCACATTTACTTTTCAGTGTTACATTTTTTACTAAATGTGTAGTAATAAGAACAATAATTTTAAAAAACTGGCAAGCCATTGCCGTATGAAAAGAAAAAATACTATATAAATAGTTGAAATACCGTATAACTTGATTTTATTTCGGAGAATGAATTTTTTTTTACCAACAATTTTATTACCATACAGTACGGTAATTTTACCAGAATTTTCTTCGTCGTATCTTCACTTTTTAACAAATCTTATTGTATTCATGTTTTATTGGCTAAGAACTGCAGATAAATTAATAATTTCGTATCAAATGCACACTATATATGTTTTCTCTATAATATTGGCGTTAACTTAAAACTTTTGGTATGAAAAAAATATCTGTAGTTTGTGATTGAGAAATGTTGTATAGTGAAATGTATTAATAATTTAATTTTTTTGCAGTCATTATTGAAAATATTTTTATATAATTAACAATTTTAATTAAGAATAAAATTAAATTTTTGAATTATGAAAATATAAGAAAAATGAAACGTACAATAGTACAACATTAAAAAAAATTATTTCCATAGTTTGCGTTCTAACTTATATGAAAAATGGAATTGGGAAAGACTAATGGTACATTTAAAAGATTGAAAGCTGCTATACAATGCATTTGTAGTTTTATGAAACAATTGAATGAAGAGCAATTTTTTCACAGAAAATTAAACTGTAATTAAAACAAGCTAAATAAATAAATTGAAAAAAAGTTTGAGTTAGAAAGCTTGGGGTAAAAATGCAGCGACAAATTTTAACAGGCTAAATAGTTTGTTACTAACAAATAAAATGTTTGCTATCTAATTTTTCTTAAAAGCTATTAACTTTTGACGAAATATGAAGATACTGTAAAGTTTTTACCTCGAGATATTTTTATTTAAAAATTTGTAGTTATTTAGGTTTAAAATTATGAGGCATGAATTTCAAAATTGAGGTTATAATCAAAATGAGAAATTCAACACTGCATTTATATAGTTTTTCCATACTTTTTACTTTTTTTAATTTTTTAGTGGATGGTCAGTGATTCGCAATTAGCCATTTAATTTTAATTACAATTTTGCGATACTAATAATGCTGAAAAATTAATAGTTATAACAATCATTCAATATTTTTATCGAAATAAAAACGAATTGATGTGGCATAAACTGAACGCGGAATTTTTAACGTTAATAAAGATTTTGTGATAGAACATAACACTACTCCTTAAATTGCTTGGCGATATCCTCTTCTTCGCTTGGCTGATAGGATGGAATTTCTTTGTCAGTAACCCGAAACGGTATCGATTTCCTGCAATGACGTCACATTTTGGCGCAAAGGCGTGACAACGCCTGTTATTACTCGATAAACTGCAGATACGGACCGCAATGCTTTTAATAATTTAGAAGGCAGGTATTCATAGTTCTTAGAAAAGGCTTACATTCTATAACAAGGTTTGGAAGCGTAATTAATCGTAAATCACAGGGTTGCCAAAACCTAATTACCTGACATGTTTTCCATTGTTATCAGTATTTTCATATTTTGTTGTTTTGCACCTCTATTAATTATTCCGTATTTTACGTCCGTAATGTCAGATAAAATTGTGGTGATTTGTTTCAAATTCTTTATGCTAAAAGTTCAGTTAGGAACGCAAATGCTAAGAAAATGTTTCAATAAATTTTGATTTTAAGAATGAGTGATTGAAGTCATGAAAAATTATTGTTGTGTAATGGTCATTAAAAGTTTAAATCTGTTCATTATTTTACTTTCTTTATGCTAAAAGCTCAATTATAAGAGAATGTGTCGTTTATGGGTTAAAATATATTATTTCACTAAATTTTGTTTTCAACTATGGGTGATGGAAGTCTTTAAAACTGATTGTTGTGTAATGGTCATTAAAAAAAGGAAAAAGGGTGAACACTTGAAACAAATATAAATTTTTTGGAAAATTGAATCATTTCTTATTGTTTCGCATTATTATGCTAAAAGTCTATTTAGAAAGATGAATTCTAAGATAATGTGTTGTTACAATACATAGTTTCAGTAAATTATGATTTTAAAAATGATCCCCAATGAAGTGATTGCTGTGTAATGGTCGTTAATGGAAGAACCATTTTGAATGTAATACAAATATTTTGTTTAACTGTGATATAAAAAAATAACTAGATTAAGGAGCGAATAGTAATCTCTCATTACAGTCAATTATTCTGACATAAAACTTAATTTTTTGAGTTGAAAAAATGAAAAATATGTCCATAATGATCATAAGAAATCATATAGTTTAAGATTACTTATGTAGTTTCATTATATGATTATTTTTCATTTCATAATCACACAAAAATAAATAACGCAACCTTTTTTTGGTGGGGAGTGGGTCCTTTATAAACAAATAACAATGATATAACAAAAACTTAATGATATAAGGACAAACTAATAATAAATATTTAATATCATTTTGCGCAATAGCCATCATTGCCAATTAAAATTACATTAAATAATTTTTCGAGTAATTATGGTTACGTGCAATGTAACGTAATTATGGTTAATTACGTTACATTGCACGGTTTACGTAATTATGGTTATGGTATTAAGGCAACATAAATAAAAATAAATTCAAGTAAAGAAGAGTCTTTCTTGGTAGATTGCAGAACTAAATTTTATCTCTAATGAATTTTGAAACAAAATTCAATTTTAGAATCACATGTTCATGGTAAAAAATCAAATTTATTTGTGAAGAATTTTTGAAATAAAATTTACTTTCTATTAACTTCATAATTTTTATTAATAATGTCTGAAAAAAATATTTTAACATAAATGGTTTTTTAAAAAATTTAAGTCTGATTATTTAGATTATTTCATAATCGTTAATGGAAGTGGAAATAATGCAATCAAAATAAATTGCGAGGAAATTTTAAATGAAAGATTTGCTAACAATATTTTTGACGAAATTTTGAATCGAAAAAAAAATTTCCGATCAGAACTGTTGATCATAAAAACAATTTTCAATATTTAAATAAAAATATTTTAAAGTTAGTTAATTTAAAAAAAAGATACCAGTCCGGCTATTTAGAGAACTTCATAATGATTAATGGAAGTAAACATGACACAATGAAGGGAAATTATGAGAAAATTTTAATCGAAGATTTTGCTTGAAATATTTTTGACAAAATATTGATTCCCTTTCTGATCAGAACAGTTGATCATAAAAAACTTTATTGAATATGAGTTTTGAATAAGTATCAGTTCAATTATTTTAAGAATGTCAATTTATTATAATAATCTATAATAATAAAATAACGCAACGAAAATCTATGCAATGTTTTAAGCATAATATCGATTTGAAAAACACTTTCCGAACAGAACTGTTTTACATAATAAAAATAAAACACATCTAAAGAATACAGTAAGTTAGTTTATTTGAAAACAACATAGATAAATTACTTAAAAGCTTTCATGTTTATTAAAGTTTTTCTTTATTTTCAGCAAAAGCCTATTTAAAGCTAAACATAAATTCAACTTCCTTTTGAAAGACTCTGCGATGGTCTGAGAATAATCCTTCAAGTCTCGAAGATGAACTTAGCGCAAGAGCCTATTTTAAAGAAAGATTCAATGGTGTGTGGCCATTACAGATTGCATTCTCTCTCTTTACTTCGGGAGGATGGAGACGAAAGATTCTCAGAAGCAGGCGGAAGGCCTCGGCCAATGGGCGTAAAGACCAATGACGTCAGTTGTGTTAGGAATCGATATTGCTGCAGTATGGGCACTTGAAAATTTTTTTATGATGGTATTTATGTTTTTTTTTCTTTTATTTTGAGATTAAATAAAAATATCTAAAAAGATTTTACCACAAACTCAGTTCACACGTGGTTCAAAGGAAGGGGGAAACTAATTATAAGAAATACATACAATTATTAATAAAATTAATAATAAAAAATTTCTCATATACAAAAAAAATTTATATTTACCTTGTTAGTAATTGTTCAAACCATAATTTAACAAATCTAACTTTCAGATGATCATGAAAAATACCTCATTCATTCTTATAATCATCAACATCATTCTTACAAATTTTATTTCACATCTCCTTAACTGAGAGAAAAAAGAGAATTTTAATGTTCTTATGATTTAATAAGCATACATAATTACAATAAGAGAAAAATTATTTACTGCTTATTCATATTCTACGATAAAATACCAGCACTTTGGGTGCGCAGAATCCATTTCACCATAAAAACCATTTTTACAGGAAAATATTATACCGTAATTTTTAGGTAATATTTATTTAATTATATTGATTCAGTTAATTTACGGTAATTAGAACTGCAAAAATTACGGTATAACAGATTTTTAGTTCCGTAACGTGTTCCGGTAAAAATGGATTTTGGGGTAAAAAGTAGAAGCACCTTGAGTGCCGGTACTTTTTACCTTAATTTAATGAGGAATTTTTTACAGTGTGCTGATTTCCAGTCTAGTAAAGTTTTAAACAGAATGTCTCAATCATTTTTATACACTACAAAAATAAGTTTACTTCAAAAACAGCAAAATTTAGGAATTTATTAATGATTTTAATATAATAAATTAAATAATTGCTTGACTGCTGAGAATAATTAAGGAATTCTCAAAAACACTATATCGAGTAAAAATATTTTTGTTAAGCTTGCGATTCTCTTTGTTTTCAGTTTTAGATAAATGTATTGAGGCAATATATAGGAGAAATTAAGTGATTAGACCTCGCGAGAAGTGTCTTTATTTGAAATAAAAATGGTAATTATTTCGTAGTATACATGTATTTTGGAAAAGAAATATTTTCAAATCCTGATATATTGTAAAAAAGTCAAATTATAGTAAAAAATAACAGCACTCTGGAGTAATCTTGCGTAAAATTAATTTTATCTTAAAATCCATAATTTTAATCGTAAAATTTCACATCCTATATTTTACGATGAAAATTATTTTACATAAATTAGTGTAGTAACTACAGTAAATTAATGACTCGACAACAAATATAAAATAAAAATTACGATATATCTGATTTTTTGTTCCGTAAAATTTTACTTTAAACATGGATTTTACGGTAAAAAGGACTGGCACCTTTGGTTACGGTTCATTTTACCATAACTTGATCCAGAAATTTTTACAGTGTAGAAACTTTACTTTGTAAGAAATGCAGGAGATCAATGTTTAAGAAATGCAGGAGGTAAAAACTGGGAAAAGTACCTGCAGTACTTTTCACGGAGTTTACAGAGAGTTATATGGAGAAACTAGTGAAATTAAGTAATTGACATAATACCTTTCTTCTTGCTCACACTAGGATCATGACTGGTTTCTAATGTAATATGCATAATTTTTAATAGCTCACGTTGTGTGACGGGAGTGTCACAGTGCAGTCACAGTGAGTGATACAGAGGTTGGTGCGTTTAGTATTATACTAGCAGTTTCGGGTTTACTTCTGATTAATTTATTTTTTCTTCTTCCATTTCTTTACTACAACAGTAAACAGTATTGGCATCCTGATTGCGTGTTTTTTTACCGTAAATTTATGAAGATAGTATTTATTAAGTATTTTTTTTTTCTTTTGTTAAGAGAGAAGTATCTGCCTAATTTAACAAATTAGGTGCATAGTATATTGCCAGCTCTGTATGCGCATTTTTTTTCCCTATCAGTCATGTCGATCAATACAGAGATTTAAAAGTAAATTAATACCAACTACAATATACAAATAATCATTGCTTGACCATCTTTTAAAATGCAAATTTACGTATTGATAGTAGTAGTAATTTAGTTGTTTTATTATAAATCAACCTACATTTTTTACTTTAGTTACTACTTTTATTATTTTACGGAACAAAAAAAACTGATGTACCGTAATTTTTATAATAAAAATTATTGCAAAATTACTTCATTATTCTAATTAATTAACATTATTGCAGAAATTACGATATAATATTTTACGGTAAAGATGGATTTTGTGTTTTACGGTAAAGATGGAAAATGTGTTTTACGGATGATGCACCTAAAGTGTTTGTACTTTATACCGTAATTTGAACTGAAATTTTTACAGTGAAGATTAATGATTGATAATGATCAAATTAGCAGAAAAGAGGGTAATTATGTCAAATTTTCAGTTGAAGTATGCAGAAAATTAACTACTTGCTGTTAAACTGTTCATATGATATAGAAATTTATGCATAATTTTATTATCTTACAATTCAAAAAATTCATTTCAAATTTAAGTTTAAATTTCTGAAGGAATTTCTTTAATATGTACATTTTCCCCATTTTGAATTTCATAAGGCGAAGAAGCATAGAAATGGATTTAAAAAAAAAAAAAATAGGAAGAAATATCTTAAATGTTTTACTGAGCCATAAGTTATGGCCGCTTTCCCTGCAGATCCTACAATATTTCCCCCTCTGCAGAAATAAAAGGGGATAGACTTCTTTGCACATAAATCGGCAGCTTGAGATCTGGGGGAAAAATTAAACTGCTCCTTTCGTATATAACGGCATAAGAAAATTTTTTCAGGTTTTCTTTGGAATATATATTGATTTCTCAAGGGCAAGCAGAGGTTGTTTTTCAAATAGTTCTTTTATTTTTTAAAGGGATAGAAGATAGATATTTCTTTAAAATAAGGAAACATTTAATTGCTTATCTCTTACATTCAAAAGGTGTGTCAATATGGAATGGTGTCAATAATACTATAATACTGTATAATTTCTTTCTGTCTTTTATTTATATAGAAATATTAATAATGAATGTTATTAAATTAAAAATCTCAAGAGACTAACGATGTAAGATATTAATTACCTGATTAAAAACTTCATTTGCTTCAAAAATATATAAAATAACATTTTCATGTTTCAAATGCTCAAAAACAGGAGCCCATTTTTAAGACTTTCTAGACCGGAAAGAGAAGAAACCAAATTGATTTGAAAATAAATAAATAAATGAAATAAATAATATTAATTTTTGAAAAAAATTAATTTTTCAAATCAATTTGGTTCCTCCTCATTTACGAGTGGCAAGTCGAGAAAATGGGCGCCTGTTTTTGGGCGCTTGAAGCATGAAGATTGTTATTCCTATTTATATATTTTTGGAGTGAATGAATTTTTTAATCAGGTAATTAAAGTAATTGTTTTGAAGAGTCATTTCAGTTCCTTCAATTATCTTTTGAAGATCTTTTGTGTTTCAAATGTTCTTAAAAAATATCATCTAAAAGTTTGTCATGCACTAAATATTTATTAAAAGAAATAACGAAATGATTTATAAATTTCATGACATTTTTCAAATTTTTGCTATATAACATAGTATAAAAAAGATAGGACATTCATTTATCAGAATAAGTCATCAATTCTACATACATCAGAAGAATACTGAAGTCAAAACATAACTGGAAAAATAATTCTTTAAGAATTCCTAAACATCTCATTTAAAAAGATATGTTGCTGAATGGTGTTATAGTGCTTACAATAAAATAATTGTGCCAGGAAGAAAATCAATGCTTTTCTTTTTAATTTTTTCTTGATCAATTTCTTAAACAAGATATCGAAAGCAGTATAAAGAGCTGGCACAAGCAGCAGGTTTCTTATTCTGCTACTTATTTTTATTTATTTAACTTTACACATTTCAAGGGGTGTCGAATTTTTCTTAAAATAGGACAGTATCCTTATTTTTTTTAATTTTATATCTTTTAAGTTCTTATTAGTTGTGTGTAGGCAGGAATATGGGTGTTTCTCACGAAATATAACAATTCACTGTCCCTTGCTCCAAGATCTAATACTATAATACTAAAAGAACATTAAAAAAAATCTATAAATAGCATTGCTGTTAGGAATTTAAAATGACTTTGCACTAGCATTGACTGTTTTATATAGTTAAAAAATATAATTGAATTTCAAAATGTCATTTTCCTGGAATGTCCCAAACAATGTTTCCAATAAAAACAAGCTTCAAAACTTCCCATAAATTTTTCAATATCTAATTTTTTTTATCTCAACCGGTGTAAGCATTTCTAGAATATGGGCAGAGGGTATTATTTACAAAAACTTCATTTAAAGTAATTTTTTCTGTCAATAATTTGTTTGTCCCATGAAAATCTGTCATTTTCCTGGCTACTTTTATTTAGTGGTTTATAACCAAAATAGATAGAGCCAGAAATCAATATCTTATGTTAATAGATTGATTTGATGCCCTCCTATATGAACATGTCTTGTTGCATGAATAAAGATCCAATTTTCTGGTTCAAAATCTATTTCAAAAAATTTTTCAAGGTGAGAAGGTTTTTGTGTTGTCATTTTCCTGGCTTCGTGAAATTATTAATAACATAAACTACAGAGATTTATCTGAGTTATCTTAAGAAATCCTGTTGTTTTCTGCAGAATAAAAATGTCTTAGGCCAAAATATTAAATTAAGTAAAGTTATATGCTATAAAATGGCGAATTTGTTATTATCTTGGCTGTCATTTTCCTGGCTTATGAATGCCAGAATTTTTTTTAACTACTAATACTGTAAGGAGAGAAAGCAAATATTAACCTTATACCAAGTTTATGTATGATTGTAATATGCTTGAGTGTAATCAAAGTTATTTATTTAACTAATGATTGGTTATTATATACAATTTTATTCTGTACATATCCGCAACAAAAACATTTCTGATTCTTCCTACAGTGGACACAAAGAATTAATTTAAGCAATTTATGGTCCATCTAACATAAAGGCCTATGTTGAGTTACTTACTATTAACTTAAAATGACTGTTTTTTAAGCTTCTAAGCTAATATGTCATTTTCCTGGCATTCAAGATTTGGTGAATTTCTATTTTCTTTTTCTCGAGCAAATGTCAATAAACTACACTGCTGCCTGTAAGATATTAATAAGTGTAACTAAAGAAATATACAAAAAAAAATGTTAGATTATTTTGAAGACTTTAAATTTGAAGAAATTTTTTGGTCCGAATTGTCATATTTAGAAAGAATCACTCATATATCAATTTTATCAATAACAAGTAAAATTTGTCCCCACTTTGAAGACATATTTTTTTCCTCAACATTATAATATAATAACAGTATAAAAGACATAAGTGTTTTATACT